AAGCGCATGCTTGGAGAGAGGCCAATTCCCGCTTCGTTGGAAGACGGGGAAGCTGGTCCTCATTCGGAAGCCGGGGCGCCCTGCGGACTCTCCGTCCGCATACCGGCCCGTGGCTCGACGAGGTGGGCAAGCTCTTTGAAAGAGTCATTGCAAATCGCCTCGCCGAGCACCTTGCGGGGACGGGGCCGGATCTTGCGGAACACCAGTTTGGTTTCCGCAAGAGGCGCTCTACGGTGGACGCCATCATGCGCGTAAGAGCCCTCACGACGGGGGATGCAGTGGCCAGGGGGGGGGGTTGTTTTGGCGGTGTCTCTCGACATCGCCAACGCCTTCAACTCCATGCCCTGGAGCTGCATTAGGGAGGCACTCCGGTATCACCGGGTGCCGACCTATCTCCGTCGTATAGTCGGGGACTATCTGACGGATAGGGCCGTCATCTACCCCGGTCGCAACGGTGAGTGGAACCGGCGAGAGATGTCGTGCGGTGTCCCACAAGGTTCGGTTCTGGGGCCGCCCCTGTGGAACATCGGTTACGACTGGGTGCTGCGCGCCGACCTCCCTACCGGCGTCAGCGTAGTTTGCTACGCTGACGACACGCTGGTACTGGCACAGGGAGGGTCGTACGAGGCGGCGGCGGAAAATATGACACGCGGGGTTGCGATAGTCGTTGAGAGGATCCGGCAGCTGAAGAAAAAAGTAATTACAATGTTTTTATCGAAAGAAAAAAACAGGGGGAAAGATGAAAGGGTGGTGGGGAAAGATCGAAGTAGTTTCTAAAATCGTTCAAATTAATGTCAGACGATATTGACGGTCAGTAGGCTACAATTTCAATTGTCCTGACACTTCAGAACTGTCTATAATATTAAAATACCTTCAAATAATACAGATAGCACAACTTATTTGTTTTTTATATTTCAATCTTGCCCCGCAGGGGAAAGATTGAACTAGAGGTTCTAAAACTTTTCACTTTACGTGGATAAGATTATACAGAAAATGAAATATATCATTCATATAATTTTTTTTATTGTTAATGCCAAGATAATTTTAAACACAATTACGTAAATGTACCTTTTACCATTTTCGTCAACAAAATATGTAAAAAATTAAAACGTAAAAAATTAATATTTCAAAATTAAACCGCTAACCAATTAATAAGATCTTAGAAAAATGCCTCAACTAAAAACATAGAAAAACTTCTAAAAAAATATTATCTAAACATTAATAAAAAAAATGGTAGTAGATCCACGTTTATAGTTCACTGTAACACATAAATGAGCAGGGTCGACCGGAGCGATGCTACCCTCTTACAGAAAATTAGCATGAAGTCGTTAGCTTTTTAGTGGCTGCCATGTTTTGTCTGGTGAGTGAGAGTTCCGGATGCCCGTTCCTTTTCCCCTTTTCTTAAGGCCACCCGAATGTTGACGTTTGCTAGATAAACCGATGTGACGTGCATTGTTCTAGGAGCTGTGATGTTGCATTTACTAACGAGTGTCTGGTGGTCTTTCCCCTTTCTTTAACTTTCTACTTCCATTCCTACGAATTCTGTTCCTATAACTTATGAGAAGGCAACTCACAAGTAACACTCCTGTTGTTTCTTGTGTCTCTGGGCAGCGGTGAAATCACTTAGCCATGAGGTGACCCGCTTGCTCTTTTTGTCTATCTTATAATATACAAAAATTAAAATAAGACATAATATTAGCTGAAATTGTGCCGCTGACAATTTATATTATAGCTGTAACAAAACAAAACATTTTTTCAGATACAGTTTGAGAACATGAGACCATTTGTATGACTTTTGAAAACGGGGCAAGATGGAAACTTTTATATGTTTATCTTACCCCGTCAAATATTGGCGAGTACAGACGCAATGTTACAATAAATCCTAAAATCCAAAAAGTTGCGATATTTAGACATAGCAACATAAATACCAATTAAAAATAATAAGTATGTATACAAATAAAAAACTCGTAAATCAAGTTACACGACACGGGGTAAGATTAAAACATCCGACTTGCTCGCGTTAAATAAATATTACTTGTGTATATAATATATAATGATTATTTGTGTGTTATAAGGGAATCCTTATAACACACAACCGATCCCTCAAAACTACAAGTGCCGACTTAGGTGTGGTACGTAACAAAATGGTGGTCTTATGAATGTTGCCTGCATTGGATAAATTACACAAAATCTGTCTTTACTGATGCTTTTTGTGTTACCCCGTTTTTCATCTTCCCCCCACTTAATCTAAAAAATTATGTATTGAACATTATTTTTTAGATTCAAGGGTTCGAAGTATTTGGTGGTATTTTTTATTAGAGTCATGTGTGTCACCCCCACGGTGTGTGACCAGTATGCACGATAGTAGTATGTAAGAAGTTAAAAGGACATGACAGCTAAGTAGGCTTTACAAGTAAATGATTAATAGTTGACCAACTTAAAATATGCACTTGTATTAGTAAAAATGTGATTACAATTCCATAGAAAATTACCTAGAACTAGCTGCATTATAACTTTGTAATGTTATTGTATAAAATGAACTTTACGTATTTTTTATTACTTATAGATTGTACTATTTCAGAAATCGAAAAATTTTTTTTTAAATATATAACATAATGTTATTTATTCTTCCCTTCACAATATATTTATACCCGAACAACACGGATTTGTTAAAAAACGATCCACAGTAGGCAATCTCCATATATTTGTTTGTATATCTTAATAAATAAAATTAAAAAAACTCTTTTTTTATAGGATTGGGTGACAAACGAGCACACAGTCCATTTGTTGGTAAGTGGTTGCTATGACCCATACTCATCTACATTTATCCTCAATATAGCTCCCATTTTACGCTGGTATTCTATGAGAGCGTGGTCCTTCCTCGGTCGAGCCGACCTATTCGTCCTACAACTATAGATACTACTAATATAGCAGCAGCATGGCTCTACCACGTATAAAGGAAATTTGCTAGGAAAATAAGTCTTTCAATAACCATCGTCCTATTTTGCCCCATTTTTATCGTTATAACGGACAAACCGCGAACTCACTCAAATGCTCAAGAATGTATCAAAAAGGTCGTTTCTAAATTCACGGACAACTAAGGACCATATTCAAAATCAAGCTTGTACACTCCTGCATCTTGTAGAGGGATTTACAATAAGGGCATGGTAAAAACTGACTAGTATTCTTCAGCGGCTTGTAGAATGTTCTGATGAAAACTTGCTTCAAGATGTAGCCAATCTAGTCTGTAGGTCCTCTGACATATGGTAGTACAGCAAGCACACGTTGGACTGTGGCCAGTTTCACTCGGTCACTGTTAAGTAAGCGCGGTACCCGAAGTTTGTTGTCGTGCCAAAAACTTGCTTGACGTGCTGAAGTTCGGCTGAGAGATATTTGCTGTCACAGATTCCTTGTGCTCTTTGAAACAAATATTTTACCACGGTAGCTAACTGTGAAGGTAATGGTGAGATTCACCGTTTAAATAACATAAATAACATTATTTCTACTTACAATTTTACAACTAAAGATCTTCATGTCCGTCCAGGGCTGATGAATTATAAGAAATGGTATCTAGCAATAAAGGACTTTGTCGTTTAAATAACAAAGTTTCTTTTATAATTTTCAATACATAATAGAAACAAAAGAAGCAGTAACAGCCCCGGATCTACGATTTTTTTGAACCGGGGCTAAAACTTGATAGTGGCGCCTCCTCTTTCCAGCGTATGAGATAACTTGTTAAAAAAACTTGCACTTTTTATTACCTAATAGCTGTTGCCCGCGACTTCGCCCGCGTGTAATTTAAGGTTTTAATTTTGTTGCGCGGAACCCTAATTATTTTTCTAAAATATAAGTAGCCTAAGCTACTCCTTATAACATGAGCTATCTAGCAGTAAAAGTCCCGTCAAAATCGGTCCAGCTGTTTTGGAGATTAGTTGGAACAAACAGACAGACAGACACACAAAAATTTTAAAAATTATGTTTTTGTTATAAGTACCGTATATACTACTATATGGAATTAGTAAAATGCTGTTATTTTGACATTACAAACAGACACTTCAATTTTATTTATTTGTATAGATTAGCTAATAACTTTTTCATTTGTATGACGTAAAATTATATATATATATATAGAAACATATAACCAGGAAAGACAACAGACGATCAAGATATTTCGGAAATTTAGGTCTCGGCATTTTTTTCTCTCTAATCTTGCTACAGCTTTACACGGCGTGATTTATTTTTGCGAAAGAATCTATTTGCTCATCAAAGTCTGTCTCAGAGGCAGTTTTGTTTTCAAAGGCTAGAATCGCGAGGTCAGATAGACGTTCCTGCCTCATTGTTGAACGCAGATAGGTTTTAATTATTTTCAGTTTGCTAGAGCTTCGCTCACGTCTTGCAGAATGTCGTAGGTTATGTGCAAGTATATTCTTAAATAATTCATTAATTTTATTATGAACTAAGGATAACAAATATTGAATAAAATATTTTTTAATAATTTTTAACGATAATTATTTATAGAATTAATAAGTCTTTTAAATTAAAATTCCCGACATTAGATGTTGCCAACAATCTACTGCGCTGCAGCTGATGGTAGAATGAATTCTTCGGATGTGTTCAAAAACCATCTGTGCGTTTTAAAATTTAAAATCAAGTGATTAATTGACAGAGCGTGCGCTGGCTAGCCGCTTTGTGATGCAAGTTTTTCTTTAAGCCATAGTATATTATAATTTTGGCGCCTCCTTAAACTGCCGCCCGGGGCGGGTCGCCCGGTTTGACCCCCCCTAGATCCGGGGCTGAGCGGTAAGCAGAGTACTCGTTTCTAGGCAACCACCAATAATATGTAAACAAACCCTTCTAACGATCGCTGCTTTGTTGTTTTTATTACCGTAAAACTACAAACTATAATCTAAAATTATATATCTATTGTTATTATTATTATTACTAATAGATTCAAATTATACACCACGAATATGTATAAGATAACACTGTATTTATATCCCATGTTTATGTTTTCGAGTAAGCTAAACGGACTTCATTCTCCTAATTGTAGTAGTGTGGAATTTTTTGAAGCAAGCAGTTTAAACTGTCGACCGTGTCCAGCTAATAGTTCTATGACTGCTTCTGAAGATGGTGAGTTGATTATTGTAAACATAATTATTCCTGCGCAGTTACTTAATGTCGATCATGTTCTTACTTTTGAAGGATATCGCAACGACAGCTGACTGAATGAACGAATATTTCGTGGACGCCGTATGTCTATTTTGTTTAGCAGTCTATAATAACATCACTTTTTTGTATAATTACACATGTAAGAAAAACTCTGTGGTTCCAGTTAAGTGCGAAATAACTTTATTTCAGAAATGACAACGATAAAAAATTTAAATAATTAAATTTTTATTTGCGAATTGTATGTGGTTGTATTAACTCTACATTGATAGTAGAGTAAGAGTATTATCAAAGACCTTACTTCACCGATGCATGTGTCAGCATAGGTAATAAAACCACATACAATTTGCAATTTTTTTTTAAATCAAATGAAATTGTTTTATGGTTGGGTTTTCTGAAGTAAAGTTATTTCAATAAGTTAGAATAATGATTCTAATAACGCACTTAACGGGAACCGCAGGGTTTTTCTTACATGTTGTATATACAGAGGCATGGTAGCTCAGGGCCTCAGCGCTCGCCGTAAAGTCTACGCGAGCAGCCAATGCAATTAGTGTGGCTGGCTGCTCAAACTTGATTTTTTTATTACCTTGATCTATGCAGAAAGACCGACATTGGAGGGCAAAATGGAAATGTGTGTTCAAACATGGCACAAATACGCAAATGCCCGTGCTACACTTCGTGTCTTTCTATCAACTTAAGAATAACAGTCACATTGACAAACTAACGTTGCAAGGGGAAGTAAATATGTATTTTAATTACAGGTTTATCATGTATTTGTGAAAATGACAGCATTAAAACAGAATTAGCCCGGTGCCGAGTATGCAACGTGACGGAGGTAGTGTCCGCGGATGGCTATACTTGTGTACCGCGACGATGTCAACTCTCTTCTGGTAGAATTGTATGTAGAAAGTGTCCAAACGATTACATATCTGGTAAGTCCTTAAATATCATTAAAATCTGTAAAAATGAAACTCTAGGTTAGGTAAATTTATGATCTATCTACTTTTTTACTCTAAATAAACAATTTTTTCAGTAGTCACCATGAGAGTCAATAACAACATTGTTGATTATACTCTATTTTCATAACTCTCGTACTGACCATAACATAATATATGTTAGAAAATATGAATAAATGTTCGCTATTTGACAAATACTTTCCTAAATACAACACGTATTATTACGTACGTATTAAGTGCTCTCCTTTTTTCAGTAACAAACTGGTAGCGCCCTAACGCAAAAACTACCTTTTGGATTAACTGGTCAACCCTTAATATCAAAATATGTGTATTTTTTACCTAATAACAAAGCATATATTATAACGAGTCAGACAGTCCCTCAACTTTTTTGCAAAAGAATTTGTCTTTTGCAAAACGTTGACGGTCTGTTCTGGTTCTGAAAAGCCTCGTTTAATTTAGATTGCTATTTGTGTAAATATAACTATGTCTGGCAATCAGTTTTAAAATAATCAAATAACTAAGTTACAATTTGTCAATAAATTGATGCAGTAACCATTAAAAAAATCTGATATTTTATGTGGATAATCAAATATGTTTCTTACACATTTTTTCACGTGGTATGGCTCTCAAAAATCCCAAGATTTTTACAGCAACTGGAGTAAATCACTATATTACTATTATAAGTGGTAGAGCAATGCTGCAGCTATATTAATAGTATAGTTGTAGCACGAATGGGTCGGCTCGACAGGGGAAGGACCACGCTTTCACAGAATACCAGCGTAAAATGGCAGCTTGCCACTGCTGTGTTTCGTGTGGTGAGTGTAGAGAACCAGAGACCCTTTTTACTAGAAAAGAGGCATTCCATCTTAGTCCTCACAGGTGACAACGCATCTGCATTTTGATTCTTTATTGAGGATAGATGTAGATGTCTATGAGTCACACCAACCACTTACCATCAGGTGAACTGTGTGCTCGTTTGTCACCTTATCCTATAAAAAAAAATTTTAACATCATAATTAGAAATAAAACTAATTTATTAAAAATATATAAAAAAAAATCAACAGTTACACAAAATCATGATGGAACACCTCTGACAGAAGTACAATGCGTAAAGTGCGCACGCGGATACAAAGTTCAAAATAACATTTGTACCAAGTGCGAGATTTGTGCATGTAACAGAAACGAAGTCATAGTTCACGGGAAATGTTTACCGAAAAAATATGTCATGCAACGACCGAGATACGAAGAAAAACGTCTTCATCCGTCTGATTTACTAGACATCGTCAAATATGAATATATGTGTATTGTAAGTATTTTAAACCATAACCAAAAAGTAGGATAAAAATTAAGTTTGTAAAGCCTATATTTCTACTCTTAACTCTTAAGTTATCTAGTCATAGGATTTAAGCAGATGTTTTCTCTTCTCTTCTTCTTCATTTTCTACCAACTTCAAACAGGAGGAGGTACTCTATTCGACTGTATGTTTTTTTGTGTGTTACCTCATAACTTTTTTCTGGATGTACCGATTTCGATGATCTTTTTTTCTTTGAAAGCTGGTGCTTAACATGTGGTCCCATATAAATTTGATCAAGGTCTGACTAATATTTTTTTAGTTATTCTTAATAATTTATATTGAAGTCGGTTGTACAAATTTGATATTTTAAATTATGTTTATGGCATTTTAGTTGTATAATGCATTCTATGAATGTTATCCAGTTAGTCATATAAGTGACACTGATATCATTATGGTTCTAAAATATTTAACAGATTAAATCGAAGTCATACGTCATATTCACATTTGCCACTGACCCTTGTATATAATATAGAGATATTTGCGTGGAATAATTTGGATTATAGTATGACGGGTATGACGTCAGTATATACTATACAATAAAAATGACGGTCAAAAACTTGCAACCTTAAAAAGTAGTAATAAGTAAATGTATATCTTGAATAATGTGTTGTTAAATATATGTTGAATTTACAGAACACTATTAGTCCTATTAGTCACATGGAAAATTTATTAGAGCTATATGGCCAGTTCAAAGCCACTGATACTTTGATATTTTGAATTATATCTTATATTAATTGTTAATTAGCTAGCTCACAGTAAAAAAATGGTTTTTCATAATGATTTGCTTATTATTATTGCATACAATAGGTTCAAATAGCTGTAAAAGAGTGCGGCCATGTTTCAGAACTCTGATGTAGCAGCTTGTCGCTGGCTGGCTAATGCGTGTGTGAGTAATTTTTATTCCTCGGATCCAGCGGGACCATGTAGACTTTGGATATTCCCAAACTTAGTCACCCATAAAAGTAAGTTTCTGTACAAAATATATAGTGTTCGTTTTACATAGAGAAAATAAATATATAAATTTAAATCAGGATACGAGCTAGTACATAAAATGTTATGTACAAGTCCGTATTCTCTTATATTCTAGCTTGTTTCAACTTGTATACATGTATTGTTACCGTGTGGTGACGGCGTAAGATCAATAAATCACCCCTTTTCGTCCATGGGTGCCGTAAGAAGTGACTATGAGAAATGTCGAAATTCTCATGGATATATCCATCCAATAGATGACGGTACAATCATCAAAGTCGGGAGTCAATAAATTTGTTAACTGAAATTTTAAAAGATCGTAAGAAGATCGAAGAAGCACGTGCTCGGCGATGAAGAAAAACATTGAAAAAAGCTTACAGTCTGAGAAATAAGAAAATTCGAAAACTCACAAATTACATATGCGGAACGTATATAATGTAACTTTAACTTGTATTTCATATTTTTAGTTCTACCCACGCTTACAAACAAATCAAATAAATCCAGTTCGGACGACAAAGATTCAAATGAAATAAATTTGTCTAAAGGACAGGTAATAGAAACAAAAACGATAAAATACCTATATTTTGCTTAATACTTTCACAGCACATTAGTTTGTAATTTATTTTTTTCAGAATTCATTGTTAATAACCGCAATAAGCTATGAAAATAATGGTAAATTTAAATATCTTCACAATCCTGGAAAGAAATTTATCTCCTGTTTTCCTCCTTTTACTTTAACCATAGGCGAGAATTACTCGTAAGTACTATATAGTTCCTTTTATTTATGTTCTTGTGTTATGTAGTTATCTAATATACATTTCAACCTGCAGGTATGATTGTAAAGTTAATGTGTCAGAATTATCTACGTCGAACAATGAACTTTTTACATTGTTTACTACTTCTGATGAGAATATGACACCGATTTCGATTAAACTGCGAAAACCTAACGGTCACATTGTCCAGGTAAGAAATATTTTTAGAAATTATGACATAAATATTAATAGAAAAACTAAATCATAAAAGAAACATTCACACAAATATTCTACATAACTGAATTTCGGACGTAAATTGAAAATATAAACAATAGTTACTTAGTGTATTATTTATATTTTCCGTATAAAATGACTAGAAAATAAGTTAAATCAAACTAAACACAACGCAGTCAGATAAACGTTATTCAATTAAAAAAGGTCAGCGAAATCCAGTAAGGCTTTCGACTTAACTTACTTAGTAAAGCTCAGCAAACGCGGGCGGTGGATGAGTTGTTACTGATTTAACTAGATATACTTTACAGTATTTATAAGCAAGTATAAATATTCTAAGAGATATACACTCGATCTTATTACAATAGTTCAGAGGATAAGCCTTTGTACGCGAGCCAAACCAAGCTTGATTCCTGCCAGCAGGCGTGTCACTTTGTAAAAATCTGAGGTATGGAAAATGGTGGCGCGATTTTCAAATTTGTTCGCATTACTCGTGGGGTATTAAGGTTTAAGAGTTTGCAGTGTATATACTCAACTTATTTATTGAACTATAAGATGTGGGGTATTGAGGTTTAAGGGCTTGCGATTTATTTATATGGGGTTTGTAGTAATATGCGATTTATTTCCTAATTTCAGCTATGGAATTCCATACCTTGAAAAACTTGAGGTATGGAGTGCTCCATACCTTCCATAGTGGAAGTGACACCCCTGCCTGCCAGCAATATTGTTAATTGCAATATTATGTGCTGATTAAGCATGTAGACAGTGAAGGAAAATGTCGTACGACTTCGGTAATGAAAGAAAGTGTCGTGAAAAAGGTGTAACTAAAAAAATTAAAGTATATGTGTATTCTGCCTATGCTCATTGAAGTAGCGTGGCTGACACTTCCCTGCTCCAAATCCCTCTTAGAAATATGAGTATGCCAGCGTCTAGAGAGGTCCAGCGTTTTTATTTACACGAGATTGAAACTGATAAGTTAGATTATAAAATTGAATACAGTCCACATACTTCAATGATAAACTTTAATTTTTGATTTCAGAAAGGATTGTGGCCTTTGAATGAATTTACAAAATATTTTTTGTATCGCCGATCACTTTCTGCAACTGCAAACATTACTGACTTGATTTATCTGCGTGTTTTTCTAATAAGCCTTCGGTAATTGTTGTATTATTTTATATTGATTAAAACAAGTAACTATCCACAAACTGGTGCCGTAGGGTGGTGGTGTATGTGAATTCATCATTCATCTTATTCGTGGTAGAGCCACGCTGCAGCTATATTATGGTAGTAGCACGAATGGGTCGGCTGAACCGGAGAAGGACCACGCGTTCACAGAATACAGAATGTTGCTGTGTTTCGTATGGCAAGTGTAGAGAACCAGAGACCCGATTTACTGGAAACCAGGCATTCCGTCTTAATCGTTACGGGTGATAACGCATCTGCATTTTGATTCTTAATCGAGGATAAATGTAGATGTCTATGGGCCACAGCACCCATTTTCCAGCGGGTGGACTGTGTGCTCGTTTGTAACCCTTATTCTATATTAAAACAAAATCATGTTATTATTTCGACCCGTCAGTGTTGTTTGTGGCGACTATAGGAAATGAAACAAGGGAATGGTTAGCAGCATCCTCCCAATTACAACTCAAAAAACTGCGGTTGGCAACCGGCTAGCAAAGCGTGGCAACAATGACTTTAATAGTAAATAAAAATACTAATAAATAAATAATAATAATAATGTGTAATTTATAAATCCATTTATAAATCCCAGTCAGCCTCTCGGGTCATCTGTGGCGACTGGGATTCCGTGACGGACTGCTCCAAGCTCAAATACAGAAGGCGGTGCTCTTCGATACCGACCGCATCCCTCAGTCTCCCCTGTCGAGGGCTTCCATCTGGTTGGGTTTTTATTTATTTATGTATTTTTATGCATTTATTTTATTTTATTAATATTTATGTATGTTTATCATTTTCATTTACAACTATATATATAGCCCAACCATATGAGAAAACTTTATAGATACACCATAATAATAATGTGTAATTTAAACACGGGCTACGATTTATACAGAGCAAACGATGGGTTGACTGGTAGAGAATAGTATTTACATGGTAATTTTAACTTTAAGTGACAGAGCTACGCTGTAGACTAATTTGATTGCTACACTAAGGGTCGGCTCAATTGAGGAAGAATTAAGTTAACCAGACCTGTATAATGCTGTTGCGTTTTGTGTGGTGAGTGACGAGAATCGGAAATCCTTTATGGTAACGAAACATTTCATCTTAGTCTTATGTACTTATCCTTTTTTGATAAAGTGAATACAATAACGAGTAAATACACAAAAAAAAACATTAAGACCAGGCAGAGCTAGACATAGGGCTTTTGAAGAATTGCCACCTGGCAAGAATTGCGTGAAAGTCTCGCCCATACTCATCACAGCGGTAAGCGCAGAGCCTGTACACATTGCCCCGGGTCTTTAGCGGTGCTCCCCTGTCTGCACCATTGTAAGATTAAGATTGGTTTTCCACTAAAAGCCCCGTTCAACAAAGAAGGATACACAGAAGACTACATACCATGTTGTTGGTTGCAAATTATTTTAGGTGCATATTAGTGCGTAAGTGCGCGTTCTTGTAGAGCATGATGTCGGCGTCATTTTAAATATAACTGGTCTTCTGTCTATGCTTTTTTGTTAGTCTAAGGGTCACGTTTAGTATTTGGAGAAAAATTTGGCCCCGCTTACACACCATATAAGGGCAATAATAACAATGTTCTGTGCCTATAATGATTGATATTGACGGCTCGTTGGCATGGATAAACGTTCGGCTGTGACTCTGCAGGGCCGTGGTTTCAAATACCACACGGAAAACGTGTTTGTGTGGCCTACAAATTACTGTTTCGTATCTCTATGTTAGTATATGTGTAATTTATGTATGTATAATCCTTACACTATATAGAAGATGTTCTAGTGTAATTTTTAAAAAATGCTAGAAATTCGATCACTAGATGATTAGGAACATCGATATATATGTACGAGTACTACTTACTAGATTTCGCATTCCGAACATAAACTATGTTCAACTGAACTGTACTGCAATCCGTACAGTGTGTCATTTAGTGTAGTTTTAATCTACTAGTTAGTCTGTGGCGCAACTGCGTATGCGCGACTCTACTATCTCCCGCGCATGCGCCAAGACATAAAGTAGTGCAGATTTTTTGTTTAGAATGGCTTCCCTACATAGTACATATAACTCAATGATTAGGAATAAGATATTATGTAACTCGAAGCATTGTGCACGTGTGCTGTGTGAAATTTCGTTTCACATATTGCACAATACATTGTTTTAACTGCCTCGATGGTCTAATGATCGTAAGTGTGACTACAAATCATGTGGTCTCGGTTTCGAATCTCGGGTCGGCCCAAAATCACTTCTTGGAGTTTTTTTGCCAAGATATACTCAGTCCGGAGTCAGGAAGTTTATGATGTCTCACTACCGTACCTCGGAATACACGTTAAGCCGTTATTTCTGCTTTGGATCTTTCTTCGGTCGTATTCAATTGCGGTCCCGTCGGACTACGAGAGTGAAGGAATAGATAGTGCACTTGTGTTTATGCACACACGCGTGCTCTGTATTCCTGTCCTGCGCAGAGTGATGGCCGTTGAGACTGGTCGCCATGACCGAAATTCGGTCTGAATGACATTGTTTATTTTAATTGTATTATTGCATAATATATATTATATAGACTTATACTTGGCCTGAAATGGTTAAGATGATGACAGACTTTTAAGTTAATCGGTTAATTTCCTATTTTTTTTCTGTCCAAATATAAAAGTGGAGCAAAATGTCTTATTTGGTTTCAGTATTGAACGAAAACAACAGAGTTTTGGCTCGCTAAAACTACATATAAATTTTGAAGCACAGTATGCCGTCAAGTTTCCATTCTCCGACATTTTCAGTACTTCTTTAATTGTGACGCATATTTTACCCAGCGCTGGAGTTCTTCGTGGTTTAGAGGTGTGACCATCTTGTCTACTGTACTACACATATGCATAGTGGAGGTCGTTTAATGCTTCTGGACTGGAAAGGAGTTAACATCATGATGATGACATCAAATACATCACTCACATTCGATTTTGAAAGAAAGAATGTATTTATTTATTGCTGCAACTTGCTTCTACAAAAAAAAAAAAAACTTAACAAAATATTAAAAATGGATTGCAGCGACAAAAAGGCCAAAGACTCAGCATAATACAGTAAAAAGTTACTGCAGCGGTGATATTATATTATATATGTAACTAGGGGACCTCAGCACTATGTTTAATGACCTCAATAGTATCCCTTGATTTTATAATTAACATAGACAAGACATAGGTCACGTGTCAAAGTTCATGTGACACCTACAATTTGGAGATCACAACACATTTTGACGTCACGTATAGCTCAAAACTTGAAAACAGAAACTGAAAAATAAAAATATTTCAAGAAACTGTCAGTTAACATTCATTGGAACAGCGAAGCGGACTGATTGCTCCAATACCCTCTCTCCCTCTAGAGAGGAGGCCTGTACCCAGCAGTGGCACGTAATACCTATAATATTTTCTATGTAGGTAGGCAGTTACATCTGCCGCACATGTCTTGACTAAACCCCATTACGTAAGGACGTATTTTATTTCTCAAAGGCCTATACGTTGGGAGGCACTGTTGAGGTCATCGATAAAGTGCTTATTTTTATTATTAGGCTACGGCAATTAATATAGGCTGTAACTTTACTTTTTTAAGTGCCGTTATAATATTAATTTGACATGTATGTTTCAGATATGGGGTAGTATTCTTAGTATTCTGATGGCAATATATGCAATAGCACAGTGGCGCGGAGTACTGCGTCGAGGAGGCCTTCAAATTTCCTTGTTACCTCTCATTGCTGGATGCATCGCGGACGCTCTTTATTTTGTATGTGTTATTTAATTTACTACAAAATTCTCCAATTACACGTTCTATCTAGTGACTTCTATGTGGAAAATGACGAGTATTTGACTTATAACAAGTTATCACACCAGCAATCTTTATTAAACCAAGAAGGTTTGGCAACGTTTGGGAAATTACGAAAAATCTTATTTTCCAGTGTTCCTCAAAACCTTAAAACGAATGTTTCATATCAACTACGTACTACTGGTAATGACTTGTGGAACCGAGACTTGTTCCTTTACAGCAGTAAAAGATGGATGTAGTAAAGAAATTGCTAGAAGCTCAAAGTCACTTAAAGAGCTATGGAGAGGGCTATGCTCGGAGCTTTTCTGCGTGAAAAAATCCGTAATGATGATCCGCCACAGATAGTAATCGACATAACCCAATGGATCAGCAAACCGAATTGGTAATGGTTTGGGAAGATAGGTAGCTTGAGGAAGTGATAACCAAAGGCAAAAAATGTTTTTCACGTGCAGCTATATTAACTGTATAGTTGTAACACGAATGGGTCGACTCGACCGGGGAACGACCACGCTCTGACAGAATACTAGCGTAAAATAGCAGCTTAACACTGCTGTGTTTCGTAAGGTGAATGTAGAGAACCGGAGACCCTTTTTACTGGAGAAGAGGCATTCCATCTTAGTCCTCACGAGTGACAACGCATCTGCATTTTGATTCTTTATTAAGGATAGATGTAGATGTCTATGAACCACAGCAACCGTTTACCATCAGGTGGACTATATACTCGTTTGTCACCCGCTCCTAATATCCTAATAAGCTAATAAATTAGAATAAATAAGCTAAAATAATAAAAAAATAATAAATGGAAAAATGTAAAGGTTCAATTATTTTTACAATATTTTTACCGATTATTTGAATTAGCATGAATTTGAATCATCCAAACACTACGGTAAGGTACATAACGACGCATTATTGAAACGACGTCAAGCATAGAAGTTGGTTCTGTTTATTACATGCCGAGCGCAAAGCGCATAGGTATGTTCTACTAGCGCCTAAAAATCAAGACTCCAAATATTTTATATTTAGCTTTGTTTGAAAAAGTCAAACTATCGAGTTATTTGTTTATATTTAAGTATTAAAAATCTAATTTAACCCTCAACCACCAGATAGCGTTAAATGGAAAATCAATCAAGTTTAAGAAACTACTGAAAAAAATTAATACTCAATATGATGTAATTATTTACTAACTTTGGGGTGTGAACTACCCAAGCATCTTATAAAAATTCTTTAGAGATTTTTTGTTAAAAAACTTAGAAGATTAGGATATTTCATTTCCAGGCTACATGGTCTTCAGTCATGCACGCATTAGCCGCGGAAGCGGGAACACTTGAATTAACTTTACCGCTATCACAATCAGAGGAACGTGTGATAGAAGGAATAATTTACGCCATCGTTGCCTTAAAGGTACCATGATTTTTGATAAAGATTAGGGAGTTCAAAGAGAAGGGAATGGTATCATGCTTTATTTTATTTTACAGGTTGTAAAAGTGGCGTACGTAAATTGGATTCAATGTCGTTGTGACATATACTTTATTGACTGGTCCGAATACACTCCTTATTTCAAAGGTAAAGTTCAAGATTGTCCATTAATTTTTTAATTATATTGACAAACGAACTAACTGATCACCTGATTATCCTGATTATCAGTGGCTACTGTAGCACACATCTGTAACACAAATTTCTTGGCTTGATAATAACAACAGCTAAGCGTGGCCACTATGATATACATATACCCGTCTATGAGGCAATCTATGGTGGAGACCTATGTTTAAAGTGTACTTTTGACAAGCTGTAATGAATAAATGAATGAATGAAAACTGTTGTTTTTAACAAGTTTTAAAGAAAAATTATTTTTGCAACTCATAAACCAATTAATGAGGGCCACTTAGAAAAAAAGCCACTTAAAAATGAGGTGTAGATAATATTTGACAGATATCAAGTTCAAGTTAATTTGTTCCGAAAATATAAAGGTTAATGTTTCTTTCTGTACTATTAGTTATATTTTACATTTACATTTAATTAGATTAAAAATAAATAAACCAAACCACAGATATTCCTAAAAGTAGGTAGAAAAATTTAAAAAAAGAGTTAAAAATATGTAAAAAATTAAAGAAAAAACCATTGAGGCATTGTTTTGTGTATAAATATAATACATTAAAAATTGATAAACATTTATTTAAAACTAGCTTATCGATTAAATGATATTGTGTAACAAATAACTTTACCTCGGTGTCAACTAGCGACATCTGGTGAGCGGAAGATTATTAGTCCTCATTTTCATAAACTTATACATTTCAATGCATGCATCGCAAATCTTTAGTCGAAATTTAGACTACAAGTGTAGAAATAATTATAGATACGCCAATAAATGAGCAGTCAAATACTTACTGGAAACCAGCGATCTTGGCGAGAGAATGGGCAGCCATGCAAACGAAAAGAAGAACGTCACCAGTAGCTACAGTTACTTTGACTCTCCTCATTTTAAACGTACGTCGCAGTTCATTTTAATATATTTTAATACCAATTTATCAAGAGCCTTTGTAGCGCAAGGAATTAGCGTTCACTTAAAAATTTTATGTGCTTTTTTACAGAATAAGGGTGACAAACAATCACACAGTCCACCCGATGGTAAATGGATGCTCAGGCCCATAGACATTAAGAATCAAAATGTAGATGCGTTGTCACCCCTGAGGAGTGGAATGTCTCCTTTCCAGTAAAAAGGGTATCCGGTTCTCTACTGTTACCGCAAGAAACACAGCAGCATTAAGCTGCTATTTTACGCTGGTATTCTGTGAGAGCGTGGTCCTTCCACGGTAAAGTCAACCCATTCGTGCTTCATTATATTTTAAATTTGAAATATATCGGACTAATAAAATAAATAAATCATGAATAGACACTTTTATTACATCACCATATTTCTATCACATTCATCATCATCATTACAGCCTTTCATAAGTCCACTCCTGAACATAGGCCTCCCCCAAGGAATGTCACAAAGTACGGTCCAGAGCCACCTGCCACCATCGACTGCCTGCATATCTTACCAGGTCGTAACTCCATCTAGTGTGTGGTCGCCCTACACTTCGCCTACCTGTACGAGGCTGCCACACGAGAACCTTTCTTTCCCAACGGTTGTCGGTTCTTCGAGCTATATGGCCGGCCCACTGCCACTTCAGCTTACTAATCCGTTGGGCTATGTCGGTTACTCTGGTTCTACTGCGGATATACTCATTTCTAAGTTTATCACGCAGAGAAACCCCGAGCATAGCCCTCTCCATAGCTCGCTGAGCGACCTTGAGCTTCCTCATACATTATCTACTTATATTTGGCGTTTTTATTATGCCCGGGCTTTATGAATAATGCTCAATTAACCACTTGGTCAATGACAGTAATATTGAGAGGAATAAGAATAAGGAAATATGAGGAGGAATGAAAAGCATATTTAAAGTTTGGCAATACACATTGGAGCGTTGTCCTAAATCCTTTTCAGGAATGAGATGAGGTCCGAGTATATGATGATTGACTGTGATCAGCATGCTTGCCTCGCACCACAATATTCACCATCACCGGTCAGGACATTTTAGATGTAATTAATTTTGAGATGGTATTTCGCCACTCATCGGGTAGCAGGTAAATTAATTTCGGTAATTTTAAAAAACGACTTATGTATTTTTAATGACAAAACAGAACGTGATCAACCAACGCACGCGTGGGATAATTTTTTTAAATAGAAGAAATAGAGATTTTTATAAAGAGACAAACTAGCCACTCAGTCTACCTGTTGCTCAAAGACTTCTGTGGCCCATGGATACCTCTACAACTATTTTGATTCGATTCCCTTCTCTATTCTTTATCCTCGATTAAGAATCTAAGTTATAATGAAGAAGATGAAGATAAACGTTACGCTTTTATTTTACAACTGTACAACCAGTGATGACTTATGGATCTGAGACGTTGTCCTTCACTGCTGGCCGTATGAGGAAGCTCAAGGTCGCTCAGTGAGCTATGGAGAGGGCTATGCTCGGGGTTTCTTTGCGTGATAAACTTAGAAATTAGAATATTCGTAGAGGAACCAGAGTGACCGACATAGCCCAATGGATTAGTAAGCTGAAGTAGCAATGGGCCGGCCACATAGCTCGAAGAACTGACAATCGATGGGAAAAAAGGTTCTCGTGTGGCAGCCTCGTACAGGTAGGTGAAGTGTAGGGCGACCGCACACTAGATGGAGTGACGATCTGGTAAGACATGCAGGCAGTCGATGGTGGCAGGTGACTCTGGACCGTGCTTTGTGGCATTCCTTGGGAGAGGCCTATGTTCAGCAGTGGACTTGTGAAGGGCTGTAATTATGATGATGATTTTGTGAGAGCGTGGTCCTTCTCCGGTAGAGCCAACCAATTTGTGAATTTTTTTTGTCCGCCAGCTTATGAAACCGTGGCAAGCCGTTCTACCGAAGAGTCAGGGTTACAATTGGGCTGTTGCCTCCATCGCTTGGTGGACTTCATATACAGTCGCCTTTTTGGGTCAGATGATTGTACACAGAGTTTTTGGGTCTCCTTTGACCATTCTTCCAAAGATTTGTTCCAGCATTGAATTCTCCTTGTTAGTATTTCAAGAGGATCTTTACGCTCATTATGTTCACGGGCGGTAAGTTATTCTTAATTGTCATTATGATTTTATATTTTGTTAAACTCGTTTGGGAATTAAAAACAACTTTTAATGATTCTATGTACTTACGAAAGCCATTATAAACAAAAAGAAAAACCATATTAGATGAAGAATGAAGAGAAACTTTTAGGGGCACATTTTTTTGGGAAAATTTTATTTGAAATTTTCTTAGCTTATTATGAGATTCTATCGTACAATTAAAAAGGGTCTCCGGTTGCCATACGATACACAGTATTATTCTGTTGTTTTACGCTGGTACCCTGTGAGAGCGTGGTCTTTATACAGCCCTGTAGAGCTGCAGCGTGGCTCTACCAATAAATGTTTAAATAATTTGTCATCCGAGAAAGTTTTAAACTCAAATTGACCTAATAACCCGCATGGTTGCAATGATTCAATTAGATCTTAGTCTCACGTGTTATTCCTTTGTGCAATAGAAATGACAACACTTCAGAAGCAAGATATCTATCAGGTCCGTTAACAACGTGCCGTGTAGTCTGTGCTACACAATTCAGGTGGGTAAATTAATATTTACAAGACATTTCAAATACTGATCATTGTATTAATCTCTTTTGAAAATTGTTTTAAGGGCTATCTGTAAGCAATTGTTGGCGGCCGGAGAGCGTACGTACTTAACTTTCTTTATAAAATTTTGATTTTCCAATAACAATAGAAATATTTTGTTATGATTTATATTCATGATTGTTATCGCTGTAATTTGAATCTTATCTTTATCTATATAAGATTGACTTATGTATGTTATTGCTTCACCTATTTTTAATTTATTCACTACTTTTGATCTCTACCAGCCCTGGCTTCGCCTGGATAGTACAGAATCTAGTAATGTAGAGCTAGTTCGATTTAAGGTAGTATTAAATAAAAACACTATATGATTTTGGATAACATATAGCCTAGATCCCTCCAGGCATTGCTACCTATCTGCTCGTAATCATCACAATCGCTTCAGCCATTCCAAATATCAGTCCGGACGGACAGATAGACAGACAAAGAGACAGACAAAAATTTAAAAAAAACTGTTTATGTCTTAATAGCATGCAAATAGCTCTGAGCTCAAAAGAAAAGAGTTATTTCAATATTACGGACAGACACTTCAATTTTAATTTTATGAACAAATTATACAGATCAGTTTTGCCTTACGACCTTGCGGCATCATCTTTATCCGCCAGGTTATGGCAGTAAGGCTTATCCAAAAGTCAGTTTTATAGTAAATAAATCAAAATATAAGTGAAAAAAGTACATAAGTATGTCAAACTCTATATATAAAAATCAATTGTTGTTCGTTAGTCTCGCTAAACTCGAAAACGGCTCGAATGATTTTGATGAACGATTTTTGTGTGCGTTTGAGTGGGTCCCTGGATGATTTAGATTCACAATTGGACCCGCTAGTAGAGGCTATTGTGGAGATTCAGAAATTACTCGTTTGAAACCGGGTGGATAGCTAGTCTTATACATAAATGAATATGACTTTTTACAGGTTCTTTAGAAAACACGAAATCAAAACAAATATTAATAACAAGATTTCTAGGAGCATTCTTTGAAAGAGTTGAGTATTTATTTATACGGTAAAAATAAATAATTTTGATGCTGAATAATTTTAATAACGTACTGATTCTTAATAGGTTAGTTTTATGCTTTTCTATGTAAAGTAATGACTATTTGGAACGAAGAAGAATAAAAACATTTTATAAATACAATGAACTATGAAATAATGACATTGTTCTAATATAACATAATGATTTTTTTTATTGGAGAGGGGCAAACGAGCATGCGGCTCACCTGATGGTAAGTGACTACCGCCGCCCATGAACCACTGCAACACCAGGGGAACCAGGGAAATTGCAGATGCGTTGCCGTCCTTTAATATATATAATAAATTCATAATAATAATATAATAATGATATAATAAATCTATTACCCAATTTCGTACGGTAGCCTGTTGTAGGAGGCGGCTATGAGAAGTACCATAAAATATTATAGCTACCAACATATGGCAGTATATCAATTCTCTTACGCCAGCTACAAATTACTCAACGTTGAAAAGAAAAAGATTGTCCTGATGCTAAAAATGCTCGGCAATGAAGCAAACCATCGTGAAGAAACCTGCATGTTTGGGATATATTTCGAGGAAGTGTAATGTGGTTCGCCAACACACATTGGAGCAGTGCAGAGGCTCCATATCCTTCTCAAAAATGAGAGGGGCCCTGAGTCTGTCAGTGGGACGTATACTGGAGCTTTACTGTTTTAAGACTAACGCGTCTAATAAAATTACAGGCTCTGGATGGACTAAGCTGGGTGGCTAAAGAAAGAACTATACTCGAAAAACTTTTAGATATCGAGCTGATAGTTCGAGAAGGAAGCACTACCAGTATACTGCTCTACGATGCCCAAAATTCGCCGCCGTCGTGTTTTACAATTACGTGGTGCGTTCGCTAAAATTTTATTCAATACTTTTTAAGGATGACAAATGAGCACAAGCTGATCTAATGGTTACAAATACTCTGGCCATATGTATTTTCATCTTATAGGTGCATCCCAATAAGATGGGATTAAGAATAATAATATTTATACGTGGTAGAGGCATGCTGCAGCTATATTATGGTTGTAGCACGAATGGGTCGGCTCGACCTAGAAAGGACCACTCTCTCTCACATAATACCAGCGTAAAATAGCAACTTAACACTGCTGTTTCGTATGGTGAGTGTAGAGTACGGGATACCCTTTTTACTGGAAACAAGGCATTCCATGTTAGTCCTTAGGGGTGTCAACACATCTGTATTTTGGTTCTTAATTGAGGATAAATGTAGATGTCTTGTTTATAGACCACAGCATCCACTTACCATCAGGTGGAATGTGTGCTCGTTTGTCACCCTTATTCGATAAAAAATACAGTTCATTATCCCTAACATCTATTTATAAGGTGGAAGATCTCTTATTCATTCATTCATTACGGCCCATTATACAGACCATTATGATATTGCACGCGAATACTAGCTTCTTAATTTTCTCACCTTTAACACTACAGACCGGCAAAAATCCTGCTACATGGGAGGATATCTGCTTTAGTAGCCTCACTTGGCAGGTGGGTTGGCAAGCAGTGTTTTTCTTATTATTGTGTTACGATCAGAATGATCCTGACGCCCATCTCTTGTTTCAGTCGTCCTCTGCACCTCTTACGAAACCAACGGGATGATATAGCATTCTTTACGCCTTCACTGCCCGGCAAAGAACTTTTGACTCTATACTACTCTATATTTCAAAAAGTAGAAGTAGTCATAGACAAGCAAAGATAATATGCATATTTTTTCTTGAATGTAAAACGCCTCCACGATACAGGATAAATTACAATTTTAAATGAGAATAACTGTAAAATAATTTTTAGCATGGCCTGTCTAACATATTTTCCATTCCTTTTCTCTTTCATGATGGATGTTGATATACCAATCATTTAAGCAGGAACTAAACACTAAATCCAGATTATGATATACCTAACCTGACCAGAATAACTTCCTATTGACATTTCTAACATAACTGCCATGCATATGCATGCTGCCAACATACAATGTAGAGCCATACTACAGCTATATTAATAGTATAGTTATAGCACCAATGGGTCGGCTCAAACGAGGAAGGACCACTTTAAGACAGAATACCAGCGTAGAATAGCAGCTTAATACTGCTGTTTCGTTTGGTGAGTGTAGAGAACCGGAGAATCTCTTTACTGGAAAAGAGGCATTCCATTTTAGTCCTCAAGGCTGACAACGCATCTGCATCTTATGAGGATATATGTAGATATCTATGGGGCACAGCAACCACTTTGAATTTCAATAAGAATAACATGTAATTTATATAATTAATAAAATACATGGCGATGATGTAGCGAGCGAGAAACAAGTAGCAAACATAGCTTATGACTACAGATCTACAAAATATGTAAAAAATATGTCTTCAAATGAGAGAAATATGTTTTAATCGGTCTAGTAGTTCCAGAGATTACCCGACACGTCGTATCTAATAATATCTATAAAAACAAACCAACACATACTATCTCTTATAAAATAAGTATATCAATTTCATCATTACTGACATTCAGAAGTTCATATAGGCTACACATAGGCTCCTAAGGTATACCAAAACACTTTCGTTCTGCATCCATCAATATTTTGCATGTCATAGGTCGTCACTCCTTATCTATCTTTCTATATAAATAAATGTAACAAGAAATATATATGTATTCATTCCACAAGTTCGTCAGCAGGTGGGGTGCTGAATGGACACTTGCTACATTGGATGCCATGATGTTCGGTAGCGTACTGTATGCTACTAACGAACCAATGTTAGCTGCTTTAACGATTTTAACACTGTGCCAGGTAGAGTATACTCAATATTCTATATGTTGTATGTTTTTAATAAAAGCAATACACGTCCGAAGCAAAGCAATTAAAATTTTATGAGAATTTCTGATTGTTTCAGATAATGAAATACACTGTAACATGGTTTGTAAGAAGGAATGTGAGGGTTAAAACAAATATTGAAAGTTTTTAATTTATCGTTGAATAAATAAGAATAGTTTGTAAAAAAGGATGCGAAGGTTATCAAATTTTGGGAGTGTTTTAAATATTCTTAATAAATAGGAGGTATCAGTAACATAAATATGTTTTTAAAGATTACCTTAATTTATTTGCTGTACAAGGATTCGGTAACCCCTATTTTCTGCAATAAAAATATTATCAAAAGGACTAAATGGTATGACGATAATAACAATAGGACTATTTTACGAAGTAAACTTCTATACACATTTACAACGGTAAACACAAACAGATATGAACGAACAGAAAACAGTAATAAATCATATGGACTTCGTTTTTATAATAAAACATCCAATTATAATCTTAGTGATTATTCCGCTACAGCAAATGTTGATGATTATGAGGCACTTGCAAAAGAAATCTTTTACTATTCGTCTCCATCTTTTAGAACAAAAAAGGAAACCGGTCACAAAAATGGTCCGTTCTATGATTTTATTTTCCGTGTGTGTGAAATAATAATAAACGAATTTTCATCATCAAAAATCCCGAAATTCTTTGAAATACTAAGTAAAAATCTACGAAGACTAGGATCGGGACCAATGATCAGAAAAGCGGTTCGCAGGTTTTCAAAGAGGTTAAACAAGCTGTCTATTATTAAAGGTGATATACTCAAACACAGAGTTCAGAATTTTTTAACAATTGTAACAAATGATAAACCGAGAAAGGCCGAGTTCTTTTCCGTTATGAACTCAATCTTTAACGTCATACAGTGCGATAAAATAGATGATTATCTTTATAATTTAAAAAGATATGCCCATGGGAAGATCCGCCATATCAGTATGAAAACAAGACATATATTTAAACGAGTAATATTTCGTGCACTTTCTGAGCAAAAATATTCAGTAAAACAGGATATTAATCTCAAATTTCAATTAGCTTTAATAGAATACTTGGACGAACATAAAATGCGGTTTAAAACGAAAGTTGATTAATTTTCAATCATGACATATTTTTTCAACGGAGCTTGAAAAGCGTTTTAACAAAGGAGAATGAAATAAGAAGAAATATTTTCGTACTTTATTTTCCTTAAGTGTTCTTTGCTTCGTCTACAACAATAGAGCGGAATACGTCAGGAATGCCAGGGACCGTGACGTGGTAAGTTTTTTAGGGTTAAAAAATTTACTAATTAAACAATTAGTAAATTTAAAAACACGAATGCAGATGGAATCTTCGTTGAATTATTGAGATTTTTTTTAGATTTACTATCAACATCTTTTCCAGACAGGAAATTTGTGAGATATGGTCAGATTTTAAGTTTACCTTAAGAAGAGATGCATTATGATTATACTCGACAATTGCCGATATATATTATGAGCTTATACATAAAATATAGAACTGATAATAAAAGATGAAATACAATCTTACAGACAAGAAATAAATTAAAGAGATGCCATATAGAACTGACTTTCTTTCGGCTACGAATGAGTTAACATATCCTTTTTAACGATTACATAAACGACTTGCGAGCTTTTAGTAATGAAGATAAATTGTTTATTCACGAAGAAACTCGTTAACATTTTGTATAATGTGAAGTATTGAAAAGATTCGATCTAGAGATTGACGATAAAAAGAAAATTGAAAAGAGTTATTAAAACTCTAAATAACAGGAAGTATTTTAATTATAGTAAAGTAAAATAAACATAATCATACAATTATTAAAAATCATCTTTAATAAGTATATCACTTCTTTTATTTCACTCACTCATTCTGATCATTACAATCTATCAAAAGTCTATAGATGACCTATGGAACTGAGACGTGGTCCTTCACTGCTGGAGGATGAGGAAACTCAAGGTCACTCAGCGAGCTATGGAGAGGGCTATGCTCGGGGTTTCCCTGCGTGATAAACTTAGAAATGAAGATATTCGCAGTAGAACCATAGTGACTGACATAACCCAACGGATTAGTAAGCTGTAGTGGCAATGGGCCGGCCATATAGCTCGAAGAACCGACAACCGATGGGGAAGAAAGGTTCTTGAGTGGCAGCCTCGTACCGGTAGGCGAAGTGTAGGGCGACCCCCCACGAGATGGAGTGACGACCTGGTAAAACACGCAGGAAGTCGATGGATACAGGTGGCTCAGGACCGTGCTTTGTGGCATTCCTTGGGGGAGGCCTATGTTCAGCAGTGGACTTATGAAGGGCTGTACTGATGATGATGGTTGAGATATTGCGTAGTTTTCCATTTACCGGTACGGCGACGGCACAGCGACGTTGATGGTAACGGCACGGCTGCCGGGGAAGCAAAAATGTATAAAATGTATGAATATATGGGAATGTTTTCCACTTACCGGCGCCGGCGACGGCATGGCGATGACTTCCACCGGCCACCGTTGCCGTCGCCGGCGCCGTTACAGAAAGCTTCCCACTCGTTGCCGGCCGGCAAAACTGCATGTGTATTCTGTACGTATTGCAGCCATGTACGTGTGTGTATGTGTGTGCGTGGTGCGAATTAGAAGGGACGCAGTGAGGCTCGAAATTGACTTAAATGTCTCCTCGTTCATGTGGAAGTTGAAATATTTTTAGAGTCCATTTCCAACTTTTAAAATAGGGTATAATATTATGTTCCTTCTAAGTATTTTAGTTTTAGGATTGGATGAATTCAAAATTTGACTTCTCTGCGCTCATTATTGAGATGGTTAGAATCGTATCTGGATAATCGTAGTTTTAGCGTGGTCGTTAATGGATTTAAGTCTGCGCCATACAAAATTACGTCAGGGGTTCCTCAAGGATCACATTTGGGTCCTCTGCTTTTCAATACCTTCATCAATAACATCCCTAGTTGCTTTCAGTACTCTATACCATTTATGTATGCCGATGATTTGAAATTGGTTGGCATCTGCGAAACTCTGGAGGACATCGAACGGTTTCAAAGTGATGTTGATCGTATGGTTAATTGGTGTCGAGAGAATGGTATGAACCTGAACATAAACAAGTGCTACCATATGAAATTCAGTAAAAAGATCAAGTCACTGAATTCATCATATAAAATTAACGGCGTCATCATTAAGAAAACAGAGGAAGTTAGAGACCTGGGAATAGTGTTCGATAAAAAATTAACCTTCGTTCCCCACATAGAGAATATTACAAAAAGGGCGTATAGAATGCTAGGCTTTGTTTTGCGTAACGCTAAAGTGTTTAAAAATAATCACGTTAAGATCCTACTGTACAACAGTCTCGTACGAAGCATAATTGAGTATTGCAGTGTAGTATGGAGGCCACACTACGCGACACACTCCTTACGATTGGAAGGTCTACAAAAAAAGTTCGTAGCTAATTTGGCCTATCGTAATGGGATTCACAAAAAAATTCGGTCTTACGAAAAACGATTAAGATTCTTTAAAATTTTATCCCTGGAAAATCGGGGAAATTTGCTTGACATGTCATTTCTTGTTAAAATTTTTAACCAGAAAATTAACTGTCCATCCTTGCTCCAAAAATTTAAATTTCGTGTTCCATTGAGAATTCCTCGCGCTCCCATTACTCCACTTTGCCCTCCTTTTAGGAAATCTGTCATAGGTGCAAACTCCCCAATTCCAAGGTTGTGCAAATTGGTCAATGGACATAGTGACTTAGTTGACATTCACGCCGACTCATTTGCCAAAATTAAGAAAGTTCTAGCTTCAGCCTGGTCTGAAACCAACAAATAAATTATAGTTTTTTTTTTTTTTACCATATACTTATTTTCATTATTAGGTAATTATACTTCTTTTTATTCGTATTTATAATCTTTCTCGATGCATGTGGTGTTTAGCTTAAACGATTGTTACACTTAGTCACATAAGTAAGTTCTTAAGCCATTTTGTTAAATACAGTGTAATCAAACATTGATAAACCTTAATAAATAAAATAAAATAAAATAAAATTATATTTTCGTCGACTTGACGAGGCCATTTTTAACTGAAGTCTGTGTTAGTTCTGCCCCAAAACCGAGCGTAGAACGGCAACGGCAACGGCACCGGCAAATGGAAAACCGCCCATTATGTACGAACCTTTCGATAAGGAGTAGAGGTGCAGTGGGTAAGTGAGCGCAGTGAGTGTATCTCCCGAACAGGGAAAGAGGGAGAGGTTTTTGTTTCGGTCGAAAAGTGACGCCAGAGTGCCCTGCTATTCGCGACTTGTCTCTGTGGCGGCGGTTGATGAATACCTTTTTTTTTTATAAAAAAACGGTATATGGTGTTTAAATTTGTAATTTTTTGTTGGAAAATAGTGTATCATCAACGTTATTGATTTCACAACGGTAAGTTGTATTTTCTTTGAATAATAATATGTTTACGCTACATTTATAAAAAAATTGATGTTATATTTGTTTCCAATTTATTTTATGAGCTTCCATTTGCCATTTTGGTGTTCTGGGGAAAGTGTGCACATATGGAGACTTGCCCTTGCCTTATTTTCGTTCGTTCATTGTTTTATTTTATTTTTCAGTGTCTCATCACCATCCCGCAAAATGATATAAGAAAATGACCTGACCTTGCGTCGGTCACTGAAGAACAAATCTCTAGAGCCAGAGCACTCATTGAGTATGGAAAGAGCAAAGAGCTGCTGCAAGTGCCACTTGTATTACTGAGTCTTGTATTCGAAATTGACATCATCGTCTTGTAGAGGAAGAACAAAGTTTTCTATGGCCTCGACTTTTACAACAGTAGAATACTTTTGTCTTCTATGTAAGCAAAAATATACAGAGTCAAATATTGAAGAATTGATTCAGTGCATGTGTTGCACAGACTGGTGGCATAAGGATTGCACTACATATGAGAGAGGGGTTTTTTGTGATAATTGCATTGATGATTCCTAAATTAATATTATTTCTGATACATTAGACAATCCCAACTAAAATATGTTGCTCTCTAAATGTTAATAATTAATAATTTCTATAATTTAATATTAATTGTAATTCAAATAAATATTAAGTAACCAATAAAAATGTTTTCTAGGTAGCATTACAATAAAGAACC